TTACTTTATGTATATACATATGTATATAATATGTATATACTTTATGTATTTACATACATATAATTGCACTTTAGTATTTAATATCTGTTTTTTTTATATTTCCATTATATTTCTTTTAATTATAATATAATCCTTTCTGCTAATAATTGTTCACATACATAATCACTGTAAAAAATAGAATATTATAAATAACAATATTTATACATTATACATTTGTACATTCATACATTATGTACAAATATGATTTATAGATCATACATAATCCGCATAGCTATCGATTTTTCAAAATATGTACAAAGCATATTAGTTACTTTTTTAAGTTTAAAATAAATATACATAGAAAGATAATGCCATAAATCTTGAAGTCACATAATTATGAAAATCAAACGCGAATCATAATGTTTCATATTGATTCAATGTTTGAATATTGTTTCTGCGGTTTTCTGTGCAAACACAATTTTACCATGTTATTGCTCAAAACATTTACATACGACTGAAAAATTGTTGAAAATAGTTGACGTGTTATTCATCCGAGTAATATGTAGAGAACCAAGAGAAAAATCTTGTTTCTCTATTGTACTTCATCCTAACTGTATGACAGTTTCGATATCGTGTTTATGTGCACTACCGGAGAAGAAATGTGAGCATGTTTCAACAAAATGTGAAACAGAATTGAAAATATGAATAGGATTGAATGAAAAAAACTTTGCGAACAAAGATTGATCCGACAAGTTATAACTCCAAGGAAATATTTTAAATAAATCTTTAAATGATAGAGAGAAAAATGTTATTTTTAATCAAGATATAATGCTGACATGTTTTCAGTAATTAATATATAATAATATAAATTTATTAATATGATTAAACCGATAATATACCAATGTGCAATAAAGATTTATTGAGAAAATATAAGTTACTATGTAACATATACAGCTGCCACTGTTTTTACAAAATATTTTGTTCAACTAAATATTTGTCCACTCTTTGTACTATCCGCTTTGACAGCATTGGAGAGATTGAAAAAAATCTGTCGATAGAAATCTGTCGATAGAAAATTATCCTTGAGATAAAAGCTTCTTTCTTATAAATATCATAAGAGCCTTTTCATAATAAATATAAGTAATGAGACCTCCTTGCAACAAGCAGACAAATTCAATTTAAAAAAATCTTTTAATTAATTTGTTTTTCATTATCAGATGTATTCCCTTTACGTTTACGTTGGTTAAACTACTTTTTCTGTGATTAAACGTGTGTCGCATTTTAACGGATTCCGTTACAGAACCTTGCATCAAACTATACAAGTAAACGAGATGAAGTTACGATACTGCTGTAGAAGTTAATACTATTATTTAATATGAAATTTTGACTTTCATGAATTTTGATTAGCGGAAATAGATGTTATAATTTTGTCATCAAATAGCGAGAATATATATTAATTTATTCAATTTGTTGTATCATTCAACAGTGATTCAGGCGCAATTATAATTTTAATTAAGATATCTATGCATATCTATATTATATGATTACATATGCTTGTGCAATCCCATATATTATTGAATATCCAAAATAAACAAAGAATTAAAAGAAAAATTGAATTTTTCTATTATAATTTTAAATATTTCACTCATATATAGTTTTAAGTAAATTAATTTATTGTATTTAAGTATATTAATTTATTATTAATTTATATATTCATAATTAATTATAATTATAAATATTATATTTACATTAAAATTATGAATATATTATTTTTAAACATCCGTCTACAGTCTAATACATTGAGAAACAACTTAAAAAGTTACCTATTGAAAAAAACGTTAGCATGATGTTCTGCATATCCTGTAATTAGATCAAGGTCTTTGCTTAGCAATCTACGGTTAATTGAAGATTATAATGGAGACAAGTAAGTTGATACATCTGTGGTAAAGAGACTATTCTCATTATTTTAGTTTGTCTCACGTTTCTGCTCATTATTTATGTTAAACCAATTATCTTTCTACATAATTCATGAAGAATATATTGCTATCACCGAAAATTAAGGAAAATCTTTTAATGCAATCTACGTTTCAAAGATTTGCGTGACAAAGATTTGCTAGTTATTTTTATACAATCTTTTATATAGCTAGTTAAATTAATTTTACAATCAAAAATATTTCAAAAATATATTTATATTTATCATTACAGATTCTACTATTAAGTTAATTCATTAATAAAAACTTTTGTAATGACATTAATTTAGCTTTGTTGTAACAAATTTAACAAGATTATATATAACGATGTTAGCATGATTTTTACTTTACAAGACCTTACTTTTTGTAAAAATTTATTTCGAAAAAATTATATTATCCAATTATATTTTACCCTTATTAGCCTTAATGAGCAAAAAATCTTATTCTTTATTTTGTTACATTTTATGGATATTAAATTTAAATAAAATTTGCTTTTACAAGTAATACTCTACATTAAACGCATAATCTCGCCTCAATTTATAATACAAATAAAAGCGAATCATTTTATAATTTTTTTACATTTCTTTACATTTTCGGCAGAAAAGAAACTTCCTAGTCTATTATTAAAAAAGTTTATTTTAATTTTTTTTATATAAAACCTTCTTTTTATAAAACAGAATTATTCCAGTAAGAAACTCGATAGAATGAAATAGAAATAAAATTGTGACAACGCGTGAATTTTTAAACAAACTGGTAAGATCACGTTTGTATTCGATCTCTCGTGAATCTATATCACAGTGCAATCAACTCTATTGTTTTCTGAATATCTATGTGACAATTTCTGCATACTAGATACTATTAAAAAATGTCTCGCAAATGTCAAAAATATAATAAAACATTACGCATGCAAAATGTGTTTTCATAATTAATTAAATAACTCATGAAGAAGTAAATTGGATATATATATTTTCTGCACAATATGTTCCCTTTCGTACTTTCTCTTTAAATTGGAATCGTTTAATTAAGATGACAGTTGTTGGAACATCGAGTTCGTGGCAAATAATAACATTACGCTAAGTTTTCACTGAGGCAAAATCGACTCTAAATTGCGGGACTTCTACAAAGCATTCCGTGTATAGAGTACATTT